TATATATATATATATATATATATATATATATATATATATATCCTTTGGGGGGGGAAATAACCCTCATAAAGCTAGCCCCTTCATAATCTACATGCTTATCGTGTGTCCCTATTCATGATACATGCATTTAATGTAAAAAGACTAGAGCACTATCAAAGATATTTCCAATAGCAAAAAGAGGAGAGACGGGGAGGGGGGGAGGGCAGGAGAATGGAACAATCTAAGCACAGAGAGCAAGTGATGGACGCAACGAGAGCAATAAAAAATTCTATCTACTACAATGAAACACTATAAGCCTCTTTAACGAACAAGGGGCCCTGAGTAGAAAAAGAATCACATAATCCAACGAGGCCACGTTGAGAAAGTGGTGGTGGAGATTAGGGAGAATGACAACTACATATGGAAACGAGTAGTGGCCCAATAATAATGGAACCGACCCTCACAAATGGCACGTAAACCCCATCAACTCCAAAACGTCTCTAGCATATGGATTGCTAACAACATGACAAGCAAATTCAGGAAAACAGAACAGCGCCCATAAGGTTTTGAAACGACCAGCAGGTAGACTCACAAATCCTGAAAGAGAGGTTTCCTCGGCTGGCAGCCATAGCTGTTGATGAGGACTACTCAACTGCAGAAGTTTCCATGAGGACCAAAGGGAGGGCTATTAGGAAGCCGAGGTTTAGGCGAAAACTTAGAGAAGATGAAATCCCCCTGCTCATTGATCTTTTGAATGTGTTAGATTCCGTCTTTCTCCCCAGAGCGAGTGGATGGGCTCTTCTGGGCGTCAAATGGTTGGGGCATGTTCACATTTAAATCCATTTATAATGTCCTAAGTGTTCCATTGCTAACCCATTAGCAGTGCGAAGAATATGGAGGATACCAGCTTTACCTGAAGTTCATACCTTCAGCTGATTAGGGGAGTTAGACAAGGTGCTCAGTATTAGTCACCTCCTAAACAGAGGAGTGTCCAGCCCCAATAGATGCATCCTTTGCAAAGAGGATGCCAAATCAGGCCCATACCTCTTCATTCATTGCCCGATATTTTGTTCTTTCTGATACTTCCTCTTGAATCTTTGCATTATAGACAGTCATCCCATCCCCAATAAAAGATCTTAGAACAGTGGACCTCACACTAATGCCAAACCATTTGCCAAATTATAAGTGCTTATGCACTCTTGCAATGTTATGGTCCATCTGGTTTGAGGACGACACCAACACCTTTGAAGGCATTTACTAGAACACTTCATCCATCATCAGTAAAATAACTATTCCCAAAAAATTAGGTAACAAGATTGTTTCTGTGGCGAGCCTCTGTGGCTGCAACTCTCTGGAGTATCCGGACTACAAGGAACAACAGAATCTTCAAAAAGAAAGAAGGTTCTAGTGACGCGCTTAACGCCCGTATCAGACCTATGGTCATTTTTGCGGCATGGAAAACAAAACAAAAAACTTCAAGGAGTAGACTTCAATGGACAACTGGAAAGCCCTGATACCGCTAGACCACACACAAACTTGTGCTCTTTTTCCTTTGGAGACAGCTGTATAAGGGGTGCATACCACTTAAATTCGATAGATGCTCCTGTGGCAACACTAGGATGGCGGGATAGGGTGGAATGCTCAGTTACCACCAAATAAAATTCCATCCTCTCGTTCTTGGGATTCATTTGGCACCGCCGATTTTGACACAGCTGGGACTACGGCCCTCCTCGAGGGCATCAAAAAAGTTAACCCAGCTTGGGGGAGGAACTTGAGCCCCAGGAAATGAGATTCTTAAAGATTCTCTCTTTCCCTATAGACGGAGAATTTTAGAATCCTAATTCCTGGGCCTCAAGGTCCTCCCCCTTGTCCATGGATGCTGAGCATTAACTTGATAATATATTTGACTGTGCAGGCCCATTAGATTTCCTGTCAGCATACATGATGGGAGGCCAACACATAGCTGATTCACAAAGAAAGAAGGCCCTAACTTCGGGGATTGTTGGGACCAGTTACGCAACTTTTTGAGCACTGGTACACCTTTTGGTTTCTCTCTTTTGTATCCCCATTTTTTGGTTCTGCAGGGGCACCTCACCCCTCCTTTTGGATGTATAGAGCACCCAATATGTGAGATGCTATTTTTGGCTCATTGTACATTTCTTAAAATTCTACAAAAGTTAACCCTCTTCGGAAAAAAAAAAAAAGGCAGGCTCCATTGGTATCTGTGACTAGGGCTGGCAATTGGGTTAGGTCATATCGGGGTATGGATCCAAAGCGGTAGGCCAAATCATGGACCCGAATTGAATTCAGGTCGGGCCAAGGTCACCTACTACTGGCAGGGAAGGGAGGATGAAGGAAATCCAGTAAACAATATTTGAGATAGATCATGTTGTGTCGTTTGTTACAGTCATAGTAGGACTTCTCTGAAGTTGAAAGATGTATATTGAGGAAAGATGAAAACCGGTTTTTTAAGAGAGAGAGAGAGAGAGAGAGAGTCTAATATGCATGTTGGTATGTGGTATAGTTATTCATAGTAGCAGTTTTGTTGAGTGGATGGTAGATATTGGAAATACGTATATTCTGCAAAGATGAACACTGTTTTTTTGGTTTTATTTGAGAGAGAAATTGTTGGGGTTCTAAAATGCATGTTTGTCAGTTTTTATGTTTACATTGTTTGTTATTTCCTATTGCATCAGGAATTTTCTCAAATGGAGAGAGAGAGAGAGAGAGAGAGAGAGAGACGACATTTGAAGGTGAAAATTGAGAGATATGAGTTTCGCGTGTTTTTAATTAAATTCACAGTAGGAGCTCTTCATGAAAATGAATTTATCATATTTTTATTGTAATTTTCCACACAAAATTGGCAATTTTCTTTTTTCATTTTTTGGTGTTTCAATATGCACGGGTCGGGTTTCAGGGGGTTGGTTCCAAGTCCTTCAAAATAGTTCAGGTCTGGGTCCGGGTATGAATCCAGAGACGGCTCCTGGGTCCCCCCTGTACTACTTTAGGTTGGTTCCGGGTCCAGTCTGACAAGGACCCGACCTGACCTGTTGCCACCCCTATTTGTGATGCCACCGAAGCAGAAGTGCAAGAAGTCCTAGCAAGCCTAAGAATGTTCTAACCAAGATGGAGTTCCCTTATGGGCTCAGTCAAATTCAAATCCAATGAAAGTTCTCAAGGGAACCCAGGATCTGCAGGTGTGAAGATGTCTTTCAGAATGACAATGGGGAGACTCTTTGATCATTTTAAGTCCCCACTGGCAATAGCGATGCCAACAGAGTAGAAGTGCAAGCACTCCTAGCAGACCTGAGATTGTACGAACCAAGATGGGTCTCCCTTACAGCTGAGGGCAATCTTGCAAATACTATCTACAGGCTAAATAAAAGTAGGCTTTCCACTGACAGCTAGCTGGACTTTTCTTTGTTAGGTTGGAGCAAGTTTCACAAATCATAGTCTCTTTTAACCACGTTTGGAGGGAATCAGACAAGCATCCGGATGCATTGGCAAGGGAAGGAACCCAAAACCAATCCTTCGTGTTGGCAGAACTCCAATTTTAACTCACATGTATATCCTAGAATATGGATTATTTTTCGTAAAGCATTGAATGGTACTATACAAGTAGCATTACATTTTCTGTTAAGGTCAGACAAGATGCAATAAAATAAGACACGGTTGCCCATTTACATAGCTACAGAAAACGAGACAGTTGCCAATAAAAAAAAACAATTAGAAATACAACTTTCTCAAATTCACAACCACAAACATTGAAGCAAACTATAAAATCAACATGGAAATTTATTAAACTACTGAACATATATACGTACACGGATTCTCTGTGACTAGCTCAGGAGGACTCATTGATTTGGATAGATCAGCATTAGGATCCTTGCACCAGTGCAATAAGCAAAGTTATCCATCGCTCATTAATTAAGTAGAAAGAAAAGGAATATACATGAATATTTAATTTAATCTAAGCCTTGCAGCTATGAAAAGCACATCCACTACCTTGTTGGACTCCATAGGCACATAATTGCCGTTCTCAAATGTGTAGTAGCAACCATCGAGACTGCTATAGTACCATCCGGCATTTGGATCATGATAGAACCCACTACTGTATTAATTTGGCAAAGGGCAATCAGAAGAACCAATGAAACTGAGTAAGAAAAATAACCAGAAAAGCGAAAAATAGCTCTTAACACAAATTTGACATAAATATTTTCAAAAATTGGTTGATGGTCTTACTCACTAATTTTACAAAGAACACTTATCTGGTCACTTTTCTTTCTTTCATGGATAATTAGCTTGCTGATATATGGAATACTGGGTAATTATGAAGCATATGTGGAAACCATAGTTACTAGGAATCCCTTCTAGGATCTCGATTTTGGCGGTACCAGGACGGACCTATGAGAGATCTTGGCTTTTTGGCCTTCAGGATCTAGCTCCCTTTTCAAGGGAACGAATTTCCTTTAAGTATGTGTTTGTGTTCCTGGCTACTATAGGATCTAATTCCTGAGTGATATGGTACTTGACCATAAGAATCGTCAGATATAGATTCCATTACATTGGAACACAAGTATCACCAAAGATTGCATGCAGATTCCTCGCGAGTCGGGATCTTCCAAAATGAATGCTCCGTATTCCTTTGCTTATTTAGTAAGCAATAACAAAAAGCAAATTATTTCATGACTATATAGTTTTGGGTTATATTCTCTTACACATTGCTATTCAAAGAAAAAGATGGCAGCAGTTCAGCATAAGTTTTGTACTTAAAACTATAAAGGTCAAAACTTTTTAATGAATTGATTTATCTACTATAGTAATATAATAACTATGGAATAATTTAAAGTTCCTTATTTATTTAATAGAAGTTTAAGATTACATACTATTAATTAACAACACTAGGAACTACCCCATAAAGCTAAGGAGCCCTATTTAAACTTAGATGAGGATCTCATTTTCCAAGTAGATCGAGTTGCTCCGATAAAATTTATCCCTTGCCCCATACTATATTGGATCATTTTCCTATTGCGTTCCCTAGGTCAAGAAACTCAAAACTTGCACTGGAGCACTACGTTTCCAAGTCAGAGAATCTCACTCCCCAATATTATAATAATTGATCTCATCTAGTAGAGGAACTCGATCCGCAGCACACATGAATCTTGTTTCCTACGTGTGAGGTTGTACGGACATAGATCCCAAACCTAGGTATCTTCGGGGTAGCTTTGATCAAATCAATCCCGCCCTTGATCCTAGAACTGTTCCCGATGCCGTTCCCAACAACTATGGTGGAAACATCCAAAAAATATCCATTCTAGTATGGAAAATTCAATCGACGATCACAATAAAACAATATATTTGAAATCCATTAGCAGCGTGGAACATGAAACTGAATTATCACAAATGAGAGACCTAGAAACAGATAGGTAGCTAGGGAAAGATAGGAAAAGATAAGGATATGGCAGAAGAAGCAATGTAGGACGATTAGGTAAGTAGATCACAAATACTCAAACCCCTGAAGGATGTCACTCATACTCCCGCTGGAGAAATCAAAGACAACCAATGCAGGATAACAGCATCAACAGATGCAAAATGACAACTCAAAATCTATCTGCCATAACATCAACTCCACAAATCCGCCCTTCCCCAACAACTCTTCTCCAAGTTGGCTCCTCTAGGTTGCTCAGTATTGGAACGCACAAAACCAGCCCCTAGGAAAGGCTAGCAGTCTAAAATTAACCATATTTAATGTAATCCATCTTCCTCTCAGTTGCACTGCCAAGAAACACATGGTATTGATGTGCCCCACCGAAACCATATTAGCAGCTATATCCCCAGATTTATAAAACAAACAGTTGCGCTAAACTACCCTAGCCAGTCATTGATTGTCATCACGCAAACCCAGTCCATCTTTCTAAGTTGATTCCTTTTAAATTGTGAAATTTAGTTTCATGGATCTACATTTCCCTTTGTATTCTTGGTCATGGATTTAACCAACATATGCAAAAGCTCTATTAGCCTCCATCATTCTATGAGAGTGAGACTCTTTTTTAGTAAGGAAGCACAACTCTGTCACTAGAATGCAGTAATTTAGAGCTAAATTTGAAATTCATACTCTAACCCTAAATATTTTTGGAATGACTCCAATAATCAAGGGAAAATTACCAACTCCCCCCCCCCCACCCCACACCCCCCCCAACAACAAATTCTCACAATGATGCCCCTCGCTGAAACTCTCATACCCCAAGATACTTTTTTTTTCCCCCTTTGAAAAACAACCCCCCCCCCCCCAAAAGGATACTTTTTAGCTTAATTTATGATGAAAATACCCTTATTAATGACTCCTACAAAAGTTAAAATAAATATCATATTTCTCTCTCTTTTTCTCATTTTTTTCCTCTTTAGGCTATATTCCCATTCATATTCATCTCTGGTTAGTTTCTCTCTAGAGATGTAATGGGTTTGGGATCTACTTTGAGAGAGAAAAATAGGAAAGAAAGAGTGAGAAACCAACAAGCCCATTCGTATTTTTAAAGAGAGAAATTGATGCAGCCCAGAATATTGCTCTCGAATATCTAGATAAGAGAGAAAAGCTTAAAGTTTACAAGAGAAACCGTAGAAAGGCAAAATAGTCATTATGTCTTTTATTTATTTTTTGAGTATTCACTTAGGGGCATAAGTAGTAATTTATAGAATCTTTTATGTCTTTCTATTCACTTAGATTCTTTTATAATAAATGGCCATAATTAGATCAAAAGGATGGCCAGGATTAAGTCTTGTTTAGGATTTTCTTATACAAGAGGTGGTGGGTGTTGGAAAAGAAAGGAGTCTCTAGATGCTATATCGACTTGGTGAGCGATATGTACGAGGGAGTGCTAACAAGTGTGCAGACAACTAAAGGAGAGACGAGTGAGTTTTCAGTGACAATAAGGCTACATCAGGGGTCAGCATTTGAGGTCATACCTCTTTGTCTTAGTTATGAACGACTTTAAAAGGTACCTACAAGATGAGGTACTGTGGAGTATGTTGTTCTTGATCAATGAGACCCGAAGCGGCATCAACACAAAGTTAGAACTTTGGAGGAATGCTCTAGAATCTAAAGGTTTTAAAATTAGCCGGACAAAGACAGTATATGGAATGCAAATTTAGTAATAATAGTAGCAGAGAATGAGGCAGTAGTTAAATTTGGCGGCCAAGAAATACCAAAAAGAGTGCACTTTTGATATCTTGGGTTGATAATCCAAGAAAATAGAGAGATTGAGGAAGATGTCACACATAGAATTAGAGTTGGATGGGCGAAATGGAGATATGCAACCAGAGTTTTATGTGATTGTTGCATACCAATGAAGCTGAAGGGGAAGTTCTATAAGACAGTTGTGAGACCAACTTTGCTTTATGGGGGCAGAATATTAGGCGGTCAAGAAACAACATACCCATAAGATGAGTGTAACTAAGATAAGGATGTTGAGATGGTCAAATGGATAAGTGGCAAGAAAAGAAGGGATAGAATACGAAATGAATACATTAGGAAGAACTTGGGTATAGCTCCAATAGGCAACGAGATGAGAGAAAGTAGACTTTGTTGGGTTGGCCATGTGCAGCAGACCCAGTACAATGCCTGTTAAGAGGTGAGAGTTGGTTCAAGTGGAAGGCTAAAAAAGGGCAAGGGGTAGGCCCAAAAGGGTACGATTGGAAGAAATGAAAAAAGATATGGGGATTTATGGCCTCACTGAGGGTGTGGTCCTTAATAGAATAGAATGGCGGACCAGAACTCGTATAACCGACCTCAAATAAGTTGGGAAAAGGCTTTGATGATGACTCAAGCATAATAAAGCATCTTATTATAGACTTTACTCAAAACCCCTGAGCAACAAGTGCTCCTTTTATCTCTGGTTTTTGTATCTTTCTCTAATTTTGGATCCTCCCTATCTACTTCTTTGCTTAATCCTAGCTCCAAGCTACTAGGTCTGTGCCAGGTTGGTATCTGAGCTCGACGATCTATACAGTATTGTAGCACTGTACGGTGTTGTAGCACAGTACGAACAGCACTGTAGCATTGATTTTTGTGCCCTAAATCAACAACCATGCCTCGACATAAAGGAAAAGGATGAAAAGTGGCAGTTGTAGAAGCCTTTGATGCTAGTTCACAGGAAGGGATGCAGATCTAAGGAGTTTGATCGAAACCCTAGCCCTGCGTTTGGCACAGATAGAAGGCCCATCTTAGAAGGATGAAATCAAGGCAGATGAAGAATCCATAAATCCCTTCCATGATCAAGCTCCAAGGAGAGATATAGCTGATTGCCCAGATAGGTATAGTAGGAGGTGGGAAACCGGTCTCAAAGTTGAGATCTCAGAGTGTTATGGAAGTCTATCCCAAGATAATCATGGAGAAACTTTGTTATCATCAAATGGTTCTCAAGATCCGCACATTGTGGGCTGGGTCATACTGTCAGTCATTGACAAGTACCTGGATGAAGATTTGGATGTTGAGAAAGAAGTGGATGATCATAAATTTAATGGCGATCCAATCATCAAAGAGGATCAAGAAGAAGACCTTACCCTTGGAGGGGATCATGTGAATGCTCCTTTCCTTGATAAAGAATTGGGTGAGAGTGACATACTCCCAAGATGATGGGAAAAACTGATTAATTTGTCCTTGAAGGAATTAGTGAGAAAAATGATGGTGTTGATGGAGGTAATGATGATGGTGCTCTTCTTCTTCTTCGAGTTTTACTTGAATTAGGGTGTCACATGAAGTAAACACGAAAGAGTTCAAGGTATTTACCCTCGAACTCGCAGGTGGTGAGTTTAATGTAGGAGTTGCTCACCAAAGGGTTGTTGAAGTCATTCTCTATGAGAGAACTTAAGTTGTGTTGTCGCTCTGCTTTGATGGAGGAACCAAATCTATTACTTATCAGCTTCCCCTGAAACCTAAACCTAAGGGACCCAATATTTGCATCTCGATCTCACAAAATTCAACAAGAGCAAGCCTCAGAGTTCAAAATTTTTCTTGCTTTCAAAGAGAAGAGTTTTCCTTACGTATGTTTACGATCGATAGTGTTGCACACTTGCATCGCAGCAGTGTCAGTTTTCAATTTGCACAAAACATGATGGATAAAATATATATGACAGGCACCATAACCTAGAAAACATTAATCTCTAGTTATTTTGAATTGCATATCTTCAAAGTTGAGTTACAAGATTTCCAAGAGATAACGAACTTTGGGTTTTGGTCTTTTCAATTTGCCCTTGCTAGTATTGTTACATCAAAGTGGCGTAGTGAAAGATCAGAGAGTATGGAAGCTACTAAGCATACCAATGCTAAAGCTCTGAAACATGGGTTTGGTTGTAATCTTGGCACTAGCTTTGCTCTCTCATTAGTTCATTACAAGATTGACAAGCTCCTTTCGACGCATTTAATGCTCAATCTTACAAGTCATAGAGGTGAGATTCCCTACAAAGTTATTTTGAATGGATATCTTTGAGGACATATGATTAGAAGTGATTCAAGACTCTTCCCTCCTATGCTTGTTCATGATTCTAGACCAAGTTGTTCTGAAGCCCATAACTGGGGCAAGCACAAGACTGGACCGTGTGAAGTGGTGCAGAAGATTAATGACAATGCTTACTAATTGAAGCCTCCCAGCCATATTTGCACTTCTGATGTTTTTAATGTCAACATCTCATTCCACATCGTCGTGAAACCTCTGACGACGAGCCACTGAATTCGAGGGTGAATTCTTTTGAAGAAGGGGGAACTGATGCAACCCGAAATATTGTTCTAGAGTATCTAGATTAGAGAGACAAGCTTAAAGTTCATAATAGGAACCACAATAGGGCAAAATAGTCATTGAGTATGTCCTTTTATGCCTTTTATTTATTTCTTGAGTCATTTTATTCACTTAGGGGCATAAGTAGTAATTTATGTCCTTCTAGAGTCTTTTATGTCTTTATGGTCACTTAAAAACTTTTATAATAAATGACCATGATTAGATGGATGGCCAAGATCAAATATTGTTTAGAATTTTTTGATAAAAGAGATGTACTCAAGCATAATGAAACATTTTGTTATGGACTTTATTCAATACCCTAGAGCAGCAAGTACTCATTTCTTTATCTCTGATTTTTGCATCTTTCCCTAATTTGGATCTTCCCTATCATCTTCTTTGCTAAACCCTAACTTAGGTCTATGCCAGAAACCAACAAATGAATTCATGTTTTTAGAGAGAGAAAGCTTTAAAGAGAGACCCTAACAAACCTATTCACATTTTTAGAGAAAGAGAAATATGTATGTTTATTTTGACTTTCCTAAGGGTCATTAAAAGGGCAGTTTCGTCATAGATACCCTAGGGGGGTTAGTGAGAAAAATAGTCGTTTCGATAATGGGTCAACAGGGGGTATTTTGAGGAGAACATCCAACTTAGGGGACTTCTAGTAATTTTCTCAATAATCAACAAATGGCAAGTGCTTCTCCATGTCACTTGTGAACCTGAGAACACTCTTACCCTAGCAATGCTAAATCCAAGCATTGATGGTGAGGTTCCAAAAGCCCATGTCGCCACAGCCTATAAAGAAGGTTGTTGCCCCAAAATACACAATCCCCAAAACCAAAAATACTATATCAAGAATCAAAGATATTACCATACTCTAACCCACCTAACTTTCTTCATCGTATTCAAGCCACACTAAGCATTGGGTAACGATCATCATAATATATGGAACCTATAAACCAGTTTAGAAAGCTACCACAATTAATCGAGTATTCTTTTGCTACACATATCCACTTTATTTCCTAGTACATCGAGGCAACCAAATTCAAAACTTCCTTTTGAGACTTTGTAATGCGTGTTAAATCTGTGTATCATACTCCAAAGAAAGAAGTGAAAGTATTTTAAAAGCAGGCAATAGTTCTATAGCTCCATTTAAAGATCTCAGCTTCCACTCCCTTTGCATTGAGATTTTGAAGAAGTTCGTAGTGCCAGGGTTGATCTCTTCGAACTTCTCTTGAATTTCCAGGGCAAAACATGATCTTTCTGCTAAAGCTTCCTAATTCTATATCATTAAGCAAGGTATTAGGCTTGTATCAGCAACGAAAACACCCCAATGAAATCTTTTTACCATTTGTGAAGACATTTGCAGCTTGTCAAGAGCTTTCCCCTGTTTTCTTCATGTAATAACACAGTTTTTCAACATGCTTCTCTTCTCTTCATTTATGGTTGATGACACACTGACAGAATCATCTTAGAGAGGAATATGAGTTCCCATTCCTAATCAAACCAATCACAAAACCCTTACTTGCAAAATATCACCAAGTTGAAAGGGGATATTTTCCTTTCATAGTCTCAATCCACAACCTTGTTTCTAGGAAGAAAATTTAAGTTGGGCTGTGTGAATGGAAACATATAGAAGCTAGATCCGGACAATCTGAATCATGAGGAATGAGGAGTGAAAGATGGATTCATGAATCCGTGGTCACCTAATTATATGCAATCCCATATAAGTGATGGTTTGTCGTTTCTCTCCACCGCTGAAAAGATTTAGCAAATGGAAGATGAATATTCTCAGGATTTTGAAAATTATGGGCAGGTAAACTAAACTCTAGTAATTATCACACATGGTATTACATCTAAAACAGCTTAGTCCTTACATTTCAGTACCCTTCAATTTCTCTGAAGCCAATGTTACAGTTAGAAAACAACAAAAAAGAGAAAATGAATCAGTCGAAGTAAACTATAACTAAGAAACATACCCAATTCTAGAAAACAAGAAACACCCTTTCTCAATCGATTATCTACCCTTCTGCAAGGATAGGAAACAAAAACAACTCATGAATCTAGCTCCACAAGTGCAGGAGATCCAATTATTATCTCATATTTGACAAGAATTTTTTGAGCCACTACACAGATATTGAGGAAATGGAATATTTGACACTGGATAGCTGAAATGTTTGCATGGCAATAAGCTAGGCCAAACCAAAGAGCATGTTGCTTTCCTCCATTGGGAACCAATTAATTCACCTATTGCACATGCTACTACTGTGGAAGTGAACTCCATCTTAGTCTTAAAAAGAAGCAAAATGAGGCATATCAAACATCAAAGACTTGACAAGTTTGAATGTGGCACAACCTCGAAGTTATATACATCACTTTCTACCTATCTCTTCCTTACCATGCTTTTTTTATATCGTGTTAAGGTAAGACTTCTTTTTGTAAGGCTACGATCATATGGCCCGAAGCTCTACCAACACATTATATAAATATGCAATTAACAACCTCCAAGTAAAAGATTCGTGACTAGTGTTTTAAAATGCAACCCGGGCCAAGAGGTTGGGGGTTCTTATATGTGGGGTTGTCGATAATCCAAGAAAATGGAGAGATTGAGGAAGATGTTACACATAGAATTAGAGCTGAGTGAGCGAAGTGGAGATATGCAACCAGAGTTTTATGTGATCGTCACATACCAATGAAGCTGAAGGGAAAGTTTTATGGGACAACAGCGAGACCAGCTTTGCTTTATGCGGTGGAATGTTGAGCGATCAAGAAACAACATACCCATAGGATGAATGTAGCTGAGATGAGAATGTTGAGTGGATGATTGGCAAGACAAGAAAGGACAGAATTCGAAATGAATACATTCAGGAGAACTTAGGTGTGGCTCCAATAGATGATAAGATGAGAAAAAGTAGACTTAGGTGGGCTGGCCATGTGTGGTGCAGACCCTATACAACACCTATTAGGAGGTGCAAGTTGATTCAAGTGGAAGGCTAAAAATAGACAAGAGGTAGGCCCAAAAGGACATGGTTGGAAATAGTGAGAAAAGATGTAACAAATTATGTCCTCACTGACGGTATAGCCCTTGATAGAGCATAATGGCAGTCCAGGATTGGTGTAGCTGGCCCCAACTAGTTGGGAAACAGCTTTGATGATGATGATGATGATAATGATGTGTGTGGGATGGAGTTTATGTAAGTCATAAAAATTAAACAAACAAAGGTGGACCTCTAAACCCTATCAAAAGATGTAGCTCCAATGCTGGAAACTCTTACGTGGCCAGAAAATATGTTTCCACCTATAATTATAAAATTTAAAGCTCCAAAAATGGTGAAAATCTAGCAAATCTATAAACATTTGAAAAACTAAAAAATGGATGGTCCAGATAATATTTTATAAGTTACACTATTTTTAATACTTAAAATCATTTTTTTCTTAGACATAGATCAACTGGAGGGTTTTCTAGCGTTGGAACAACGTTTTTCGATGGGTTTTTAGGAGCGCCTTACTTCTGTAGTATAAAAATCACACTTTATATAAACTTTTTCCACACACAAATATATACATAAACAGATGCGCACCCACGTAGTTTGTGTGCACACACACACATCCACAAGCGCGCACACTCACACACATATGCACCAAACACACACACGTGCGCACATACACATATGATACTTGGGTGTTTGGATTTCTTAAAATCCATTTTCTGGTGATAGGCAAGTAAGTTGCAAGGCATTGGATCAGTTGTAGTGGGGTTCACTGCAACGAGGAGTAATCAAGCCAGTCTCGGTTCCCAACAAATATAAACCCCCATGGTTCATGTATACATCTTCTTAAAGTTATCATGATCATTCTATCATGTGTCTTTCTTCTCTTAACTTTTTATCTTTCTTGTTTTGTTCTTTATATCAATGTGCAATTTCCCTATAAATTCAGACAACTGCAGTGTGTGCTGAAAAGAAAGAAATCCGAACCATAAACAAGATAAAGAAATCCGCTCTAGCAAATCATCAAGCAAAAAAGGATAAGTACAACCTACTAGGGATGAAATTACGGAGACCAAGAAACTAAAGAGATAAGACATAAGGGATAAAACACAAGAATAAGCAGAGGGGTGAAAACATAAGCTAGAAAGTAGAGAGAGAAGGAATAAGGTTGGTGTAACCTGGCATGGTAGTAGAGTTGGGAAGGTTCATCCCACTGAAACAAACATTCCATGTCCCGCTTCTCCGTGGGATCCCCCATAACCTCAGGGGTTTGTGGCAATTATCATGCCCTTCTTCGGAACAAAGTAGTGGAGAGACACATGCGCAAACTCGCGTTTGTTCCTCCAATTTGTTTTGTGCCCTAGAGACAGAGAGAGAGGACGAGGGCAACGGATGGTAATACGGAAATGGGACAAGGGACCCGATTGAGAAGGGGGTTGCAGGCGTTAACCTGACCTGATCAACACGTTTCAATATTGGGATGGTATACAAAGAGCCTTGTGTCCTTCAGAATTGAAATGCCATAATCACTATATATGAAGAGGTCATAAATAGAAATGCCATAATCACTATATATGAAGAGGTCATAATCAGTATTGGCAATTGGAAGCGAATATGATCGATTGAAATGTGTCACTATATGTAAAAATGAATTGGATACAATGTGATAATTGCAATAAGTGGTTTAAAAAATAGATCGGTGCTTCGAATGGGGCATCCGAAAACTCATTCGAACCGGTAAATCAACGTTGGGAATTAGAAATCGGGCAGGAACGGTAATTATTGTCTCAAAATTTTTTTAAAAAATTATTATATATCTCTAAAAATAATGTTATTTTAATTGTTAATAGAATTTAAGAGTGGTGAACTACATATTTTCATTACTTTGTAAAAATAGGTGATTATTGAGACATTGTTTTTCTATATGGATGTCTGTATAATTAAAATAAATTAATTAATAAATAAAATATAAGATTTGGTTATTATTATAATTAGTATAATTATTAATTACAATATTATAATAAACATGATTAAAAAATAAGAGTATGACCCTCACAAATAAATAAATCTAATATATAACAATTAGTGTGGATAGAAATATAGAATATAAAAATATAACTTTACAATAATATTTTAATAAATTAAAAAGTAAATAAATAAATTCATACTTGCAATATGAGGTAACTAGTTACAAACACTTCCATATTATAAGATTAAAAAAATTAATTTCTCACATGAATTAGTATCACATCAAAGTATCAAACATTTATTAATTTGTTTTACTTATCCAAAATTATTACAACTTAACTAACTATAATAACATATATTGTTGAAGTTGTTATACTTTATATTTTATAATTATTTTACTATATAAATAAAAATATAAAATTTCTTATAATATCATCTAATTTAAAAAATCTTATTTACAATTATAAGAAAAATAATACATTATAAAATTTATAATATAAATAAATTAATAAATAATATACAAGATTTGGTTATTAATAAGTAAATAAAAAATTAAATTTGTAATTGAGATAATTGATAAAGCAACTTGAAATAAATTATAAAGTGGTATGAGTTAGTGTTATTTTTCTCTCTTAAAATATCATCTAAATTATTATTATTAATAATATCCAATAAACTAGAATTGATATTTTTTTTTTTTTAATATCTTATGAGCTAGTACTAATTTTTTAATCATCATTAACTAATTAATTAATTATTACTCATATAATGAAATAATCTCATGATATAATAGCTTAAGAGAGTTTTCATTTTTTTTTTGTCAGTAAATTTAAATTTTTTTGGTGAAAGATAGGGGTGATGGGAACCAAATTATTATTTTTAATAATTTTTTTCTTTTTTATCATCTAATTTAATTGCCACAATCGGACATATAACCTTCTTACTCATGACGGGCATACCCTGTCGCATGTACACCATCGCGCATACACCATCTCACTTCAATTTATCCCAAGCTAATAATATTTGCCAGCCTTCTTATTCATGACGGGCTGGTTTTTCAACCCACAGGAATGTCTCACATCGAAGCGATGTGGGAAGAAATAGTGCTATAAAAGAACCCAACCATCCTATCCAATTTAATGTTGTCTTGGCCACATGTATGGTAATGCACACTAAAGGTTGTTGCTTGCCCTTACGCATGAGGGGTTTCACGTTATTTGTGCATGTGGGGTCGGTCCACGTTATTTGTGCGTGTATGGGTAGGTCCACGTTGACCCATGCTGATACATAGGCGGGTTACACGCGTGTGGGGTTGGTCCACGTTGGTGACCCATGCTGACATAGGCAGGTTACACGCATGTGGGGTTGGTCCACGTTGTTGACTCATGCTGACATAGGCATGTTACAAGCTGCTAACGCACGCTGATTTGGCAGGTTTCGGGTCTTTAATTGTAATGATTCGAACGGTTCACTGTACAGAAGACTCGGGCGGTTTTCTGTACAGAATCGCCGATACCTTTCTAGAATCGGACGACTTAATGTGTTTTACTGGAATTGACATGAGGTGGTCTATTCTCTTGTCGACTCGGGCGAGTCTTTTGTGACTCGTCGTTTTTTAAAACACTACTTACAACTATGAAATCTGATAGCTATGGTGTGTCACAATGTTCAAGAAAATTTCTTTTGAAGTTTGAGCCTGGTTAATGAAATAAATGCGGCCATCTAATTTCACATCCAATGGTCAAAATTAATTGTGATCACCTTGTACTAAAGATAAACGGTCTCATTATATACTTTTCCACATAAAAAAGTTCATTTTGAAATTTATGCCCAATTAATAACATATCCCCAACTACCTGATTGCACATCTAGTGGTTTGTAACCTTTTTATACTAGGGTTTTGTTGGGCTACGCCACTTGTGGTGTAGACCCTTAAAGTGCTCAACATTTTTATACATTTAGATACCCTTATCTTATAGTATAGTAACATTTTATTTAGGGGTATTTTAAATAATTAGCTAAGGTAAACTAGAAACTCTTAATAGAAACAAAATCAATTATTAACCATAGTGGATAATGACATCACCGATATGGTGTGTAACATCACCCACAAGATGCATTCATTGTTTTTAACTACTAATAGAATGGCTTTTACCCTTCTAAATGACCAAAAATACTCATACTTGAAAAATTTTGTATTACAATTCAATGGTATTTTAGTGTCCCAAAATGTTGAGCACTTTAAAGGTCTACACCACCAAGTGGTGTAGCGTCTTATTATATATATTCATAATATTCTAGTCTCATTTGTAAACATTCTAGTAAGGGATGAACAAGATATTTGATATTTTGCTCCAAAAGTTTAAGGCTCCATTGTGTACATGCACATTATTGTGGAAGGGTTCAAATGGTATAAGCCCAACAAAGTGGTACCAAAGCTAGTTTTCTATTATCTTTGGTACACCGTACACTGTTGCTCATCCAATTATTGCATGTTGATAAATTGAGACTAACAGTCGTAAGACGAGCGAGGAATAAACCTCCAGATGATAGGATCCTTAAGGCAACCCAATACAAAGTGTGTGTGACATGCAGTAGATGAGATGTCATGAGGGATGTATCATTGGTGAGGGATATCACCAGTGAGCAACACCATTAATGAAAGGTAAGAATCACCGTTGGTGAAGGCAAAGCATATCACTAGTGGGAGTTTAGCCTGCGAGTGGTTTGTAAATTGGATCATTTGAATCGTGTGTCTAGGTTACAAGATGGATCCCAGTATAAGGAGTAAGATGATTTCACTCAAAGGGAATAACTAGATAATCTAGAAACCGAAAATAAAAGATCTTTTATACTACAAGAAATTATACATATCCCTTGAAGGGCTAAACACAAGCCCGAAGGCATGTCCAAGGAAGAGTGTAAGAAGATGGACTGAAATGTATTAAGGACAATATGACAATGGTTGAATGATATTGTATTCTTCATGTGTAGAGTCAGACATTTGCCAAGTCGTTGTGGAATAAGCTACATGACCTATACAAAATAAAGACTGACGAAAATAAGGTGTACTTGATCTGGAAGCTAGTGAACCTAAATTTCAAGAATGGAGGCTCTATTGTAGAGTGGTCAGCCAGTCACCCCCATTGCCCCATGTGCCTGTGTGCATGCGTGACCCAAATTTGTTTATGTGTGCATAAGACATACGGTGTGATACGAATGATAAATCAAAAGAATTCAAATGTTATTTTGGTAGAATACAAGGTACAAAAATTACATCAGATGGAGGTGGGTTTAGACATGTCCGGGTCGTAGCCTCTTAGATCCCATTTACTGATGCCGCAAAAAGCCTTCCAACACTCAGTGACTGGCAGGGCACGAGGGCACCTAGTCTTAGAAATTTCTCCCAAAGGGTGAATGTTGTGAAGCAAACACCTCGAGGTGAGCCTTGCGAGCCAAACACCCCTACTTCTCCCAAGGAGAGTTTTGAGAGGCAAACAGCCAAAGGAGGGGAGCTAGACCTACACTGTCAATACTCGCTAGCTTAGAGTGGTTTGATTTTACTTCCTTGCACATCAAGTCACATTCGATTCTAAGGGGTACACGCACACGGATAGTGATGGGTTACTATGGGCTAGTCGCTATTTGGTTTCAATACACCTAGGTGTGGGCTAGGTCTAGGTTTGAATGGGTTTGGGTGGGCTAGACTAGACAAGATTGGTAGGCTCGTGTAGGTCCCAGTGGGTTCAAGTGATTCACGTGGGTTGGCCATGGTGGGCTCAAGTGGCCTCATGTGGGTTAGGCAAGTGAGCTCGAGTGGGTTGAGTGAGTTAGCCAAGGTGGGCTCAAGTGGGTCTAGATGGGTCCAGGTGGGTTGACCTAGATGAACTTGGTGGGTTCGAGTGGGTCTAGGTGGGTCCAAGTGGGTTGGACTAGGTAAGTCCAAGTTGGTTTAGTTGGGTTAAGGCTAGTGAGTTTGGATGAGTAGGTCAAGTGGGTTTGCATGGGTTGAGTCAAGTAGGTTTGAATGGGTTAAGCTAAGTGGGTTTGTGTGGGTTAAGCTAAGTGGGGTATGTGTGGGGTTTGTATGGGTTAGGCTAGGTGATTTCAATTAAGGTAAGCTTGGGTGGGGTGGGGTTTGGTTAAGGTTAGGCTTAGGGTTAGGAGGAGGCTTGGGTTAGGTTAGGGTTTAGAGGATAGTCGGTCTAGGGTTAAGGTTTTGGCTACCATGGTTAAGTATAAGGACTTAACCGAAATAGGTTAGGCTTAGGGTAAGGTAACTAGGGTGTGGTCAAGGGTTCGTTAGGGTTTAGGGGAAGGGTAATCCATCTTTTTTCAAAAGTTTCTCTCTCCTCTCTCAAGGAAATAGAGTTTCTCAATTTAAACATACAATTTTTATTTTTAATTTTTTAATGGGTGATGGGGGTAGGCTTATATAGAGCCCCCACCAAAACATGGGTGGATGCTCAAGGTTTAGAGGGATTGGGTGTAAAAAGAAAACGGTAAAACCTACAAAGAAATTTGGGTAAAGGAAAAAAAGAAAAAAGAAAAAAGAA